AGACTCCCTTGAGCCCAGGAGTTGGAGGTTGCTGTGAGCTGTGATGCCACAGCACTCTACCCAGGGGGACAGCTTGAGGCTCTGTCTCAAAAAAAATTTAACCTGTCTCAGCCTCTTAAATAGCTAATATGTGGGTCACTATGAAAATTTTGAGACAGACTGTGTTATGGTCCATTATTTTATTTCCAAAACACACAGTCAACAGCATCTTTTCTCATTCACCTGTAAAAGTTTCAACTTGCTCAGCTTACAGTGGTACTAGGAAGGCTTCATTTGTTTTTGTCTATACAGATTTAAGGTTTCCTGATTTTTTTATATTGCAAAACTTTCTTTTCTTTTTTTTTTTGTAGAGACAGAGTCTCATTTTATCATCCTGGTAGAGTGCTGTGGCGTCACATGGCTCACAGCAACCTCCAACTCCTGGGCTTAGGCGATTTTCTTGCCTCAGCCTCCCAACTAGCTGGGACTATAGGCACCCACCACAATGCCTGGCTATTTTTTTGTTGCAGTTCAGCCAGGCTGGGTTTGAACCTACCACCCTCGATATATGGGGCCGGCACCCTACCCACTGAGCCATGGGCACTGCCCATGTATTGCAAAACTTTCATAATGACCTGAGTACTACAGGCATGGCTCCCCTGTGTGGCTAAGTTTTTAAATTTTTTGTAGAGACAGGGTCTTGCTATGTTACCCAGGCTGGCCTTGAACTCCTGGCTTCAAGTGATCTCTCTGCCTCAGACTCCTAAAGCACTGGGATTACAGGTCTGAGCCATCATATTGGCATGAAGTTTTTTCTTGATCTGGCCAGAACTTTGTGGTAAATGATGACCATTTTCTCTATAAGTGACTGATTAAAGCAATCTCACTAGCAATTATATTGCCATATACTTTGACCTTATAGGAATTTTAAGACTGTCTCCCATCTCTCACAGTGCAGTATCTGACAGCTCAGCTCTGGAGTCAGAAAGAACCATGCGTGTATTCTGGCCGGCCTGTCTGACAACTGATTGACCCAGGATACCTATCTTAACTTCTCTGGTTTTTACTTTCCTCCTCTCTAAAACTGGGCTAATATTTTTGTCTTGGGAAAAGGTGACTATGAAATTTTAGATTCGTAGATAGTAAACACTTTAAAGAGTAAGATTAATGCAAGGTACAGAAGAATTTGAACACATGGATGTGTCCCCCATGCCTCTATACCCAGGTTGTAAACTCTGAGCTACAAGGGCTCTGCTGTGGACTAGGGAGCAATATATATGGCTCAGAGTTTCACCATCCTAATATGGACAGAATGAAGCTTGGCTACTCTCCCCACCACCTTGTTTTAGGACCATCTTCACTGGACTTCTAGGCCTCCTGTTTTCTCATCTTCCTATTCCTGGTGTAGGTAGGTGCTAGGCATACATCAGTTACAGTGGAGACATTCAGGCAGTTCTGGTGAGGGATCCACACTTTGAAGAAAGAACTTCCCAAGAACTTCCTCTTTGGCCCTTTCTGGCTTTTTTCCCCTAAGTTAAGCCACCTATCCTTAATGACAGCTAAGGATGGTACTGACGCTTCCCCATAAAGGCCTCTTAGGTACCATCCCCTCCGTCCCAAAAGACTGCAGTGAGGGAATAGTAACTTTTAGGGACCACTATACAGCAGAAAATGAATTCCTCAATGTTTCTTTCACGCCATTCCCTTGCCCACAGTTTATTGGTTCTGGGGTAGAAATTTGATAGGTGGACCAATTAAGGGATTTAGTGCATTCTTGGATGCAAAAAGAAAACAGAGTGCATGTATGATGAGGTTCTACCTAATGGATTTTAATTCCTGGTTTCAGTTTTGCTTGAGACTGGCTAAAATTCTATGGTTATTTCAATGTCCTCAAATGCCCCCTTTAAAAAAGAAAAACTAGCTTGCATTTTTGACTATTTGCCAGTGAAAATATTTAAATGACATTAAAAGGATTTGGAGTCCCTTAAATAAGCTTCAGATAGCAAAGCTGGGAGGGGTAGGGCGAGGCTAGGGGTGGCAGAAGAACAGGCTTTCCCTGCTGACGGCATCTTACTGTTCTTCCATCAAGCGGGTGAACTTCTGCCGGGCCAGGTCCATTAGCCCGTCTACCTCACTCTTGGAGCGTTTGAAGTTCTCAATGCTGAAGGCGTAGACTGTCACCTCTAGGATGCCCAGGTTCAAACACCAGCGCAGAGTCTGAGAGGGGAGAAGGCAAGGAGCTAGGATACAAGGAAGAGCAGGAAGGGAAATAAGAGATGTTTCAGCCCTGATTCAGAGTTGGAGATGGGAGACAGACTCTTCTCCTCCCCAAACCTAGGTAAAACTAGGATAATACCAGTGTTTATGCCAGAACAATAAACCAAATAAGCAGAGAGTGACCATTTAAGAAACTGAAAAATGTGACCTTAGTACATGCTGATGCCACTGCAGTTTACTAGAAAGAACTATTCACTCGAAGTATAAAGACCTAGGTTCTAGTCCCTGAGTCCATCATGTACTTGTTATGTGATAGTAGGCAAACCTTCTAACCTGTGTGGGACTAAGTTTCCTTATCTGTAAAACGGGATCACAATCTATCCCTTACAAGGAGGCTATCAAACAAAATAAAAACACAAGGCATCACAGCATAACTTCATTATTCTCATAAATTGAGAGACTGATGCATTAAATGAATAAAAGCAATTAGATAGCTGTTAACATTTAATAGTCTGCAAAGGGTTTTCCCATATATTATTTCCTATGATTCTTCAATCACTTAAAAATGACACTACTAGGAGATGCCTATGGCTCAGTGGGTAGGGCGCCGACCCCATATACCAAGGGTGGAAGGTTCAAACCCAGCCCCGGCCAAACTGCAACAAAAAAATAGCTGGGCATTGTGGCAGGTGCCTGTAGTCCCAGCTACTCAGGAGGCTGAGGCAAGAGAATCGCCTAAGCCCAGGAGTTGGAGGCTGCTGTGAGGTGTGTGATGCCATGGCACTCTACTGAGGGCGATAAAATGAGATTCTGTCTCTACAAAAAACAAAACACTACTATATTTGTGCCTACTTTATAGAGGGAAAAACAGACTTAAGTGGTTGAGGAAACATATTAGAAATCTACAATTCAACTGAAAGATTCCATTATATGACATTCTAGAAAAGGAAAAAATGAATCTATTTATACAGAAATCAGACCAGGGGTGGCCTAGAGAGGGATGGAGGAGGTGGAACACATGCCAAGTAGGAAGGGCACCAGGGGACATTTTGGAAAGAAAGAAATGTTCTGTATCTTGACAGGAGTCAAACAAATGCATTTGTCCAAACTTAAAATCTGTACATTTCACTGTATGAAATTATATCTCAATTTAAAAAGAAATGAAACTCAATCGTGGTCCTCTGCGGCAGCTCCAACCCTGTAATAATAAAGGTGGTGGCTCGGCACCATAGCACAGTAGCTATAGCACCAGCCATATACACCAAGGTTGGTGGATTCGAACCTAGCCCAGGCCCACTAAACAATGACAACTGCAACAAAAAATAGCTGGGCATTGTGGCAGGCACCTGTAGTCCCAGGTACTTGGGAGGCTGAGGCAAGAGAATCGCTTAAGCCCAAGAGTTTGAGATGCCACAGCATTCTACCAAGAGTGACATAGTGAGACCAAAAGAAAAGAAAAAATAATAAAATAAAATAAAGGTGGAGATCGAGGGCAGCACCTGTGGCTCAGTGGGTAAGGCGTTGGTCCCATATACTGAGGGTGGTGGGTTCAAACCCAGCCCTGGCCAAACAGCTACTCAGGAAGCTGAGGCAAGAGAATCTCCTAAGCCCAGGAGTTGAAGGTTGCTGTGAGCTGTGATGCCACAGCACTCTACTGAGGGCAATAAAGTAAGACTCTGTCTCTAAAAAAAAGGGGGGGGGCAATGCCTGTGGCTCAAAGAGTAGGGGGCCGGCCCCATATACCAAGAGTGGCAGGTTCAAACCCAACCCCAGCCAAACTGCAATAAAAAAGAAAAAAACAGCCAGGCATTGTGGTGGGCGCCTGTAGTCCCTACTCGGGAGGATATGGTAAGAGAATCACCTAGGCCGAGAGTTGCGGTTGCTGTGAACTGTGACGCCACGGCACTCTACCCAGGGTAATAAAGTGAGACTCTGTCTCAAAAAAAAAAGAAAAAAAAA